TGACTTACTTGACTGAATTAGTGTTGAAAATCCGGATGTTGTTCCACATGCTGAGTACAGTGCAGTAGATCTCCACACTGATTTCTGATCAATTCAGGAAGGCGTGTCTCTCTGTCTTTCCGATCCTGGTTTCCACATTCTCATCTGTACTAGTGCCACCTGTAATTGAAACGATGCTGCCTAGGTAGGTGGAAGTGACTACATTCCTTAGGTTTCTCTCATTGATGGTTATTGGTGCTTGTTGTTGTTGTTGGTTGGGTATGGTCGTGCGATATCTCTGTTAGTGATAAGCGTTGACAGTCGTACTCAGATGAGTTTCTGACGACTTCGGCATCATTAAATCTTGAGTGAGCAATATTGTGTCTCTCTAGAGGTCAACTGTTGTTAGGACCATAAAGTAACGTTCCCGTTCCATATAAATTGTACTAACAACTGTAAAGTATAACTCTCAAATTGTATTTGGAGGTGTGTGGAGATTTATGAATTGATTTTTGGTTGAAATTCACCGTGGACTGACATCATTTGAGGGAACCTTGCAGCAAAAACCTCCAGATAGAAATTATTCTAGCACTCATTAATGACTAGCTTCGAGAGGCGATTTCTGAAGTTCCAATGGGAAGTCGTCACCGGTGGGACCAATCCAGTCGAATATGAGGACAGTTTACTTAACGACGACAATGGATGGAGGTCGCGCTATATCGTAAACTGACAGAAATAAGATACATGGACCATTAGACTCTGACCCAGTGGCTTAAAGTTAACCTGCCTCCTGCGGAACTTGAAGGTACTCGGTTCGACTCATGGCGGGGTGGGTCATGAGTATGCACTGCTGAGGTGTCGCATACTAGAATTAAACAGCTGTTTAGTGCTACCATGTTGATATGGGGATAAAGAGAAAAAACTAGTCTGGAGAGGAACCAATCAAAATGTACTTTATGTTATCACTTCTACAGTTAGCCAACCAATAGGATTATTTTAAACACCGAACTATTTATATGTTAACAGTATTTTTCCTTTGTTTTTGGGTCTTCAGTCTTTCGACTGCAATACATGTTCCATGGGGTCAGAAATCAACTAGGAATTTGTGGAACGTTGCTGACTGACACTCGATATTTGTGCATCGTTAACGGCCATAACATATAGCAGTTTTCCATCTATAACACTGAGTTCCATTGTTTCTCCAACTCATGTCAGTCAGTCTATGAGGAATACCAACCTGAAATCAATCAATAAATTCTCACAAATTGAACAACTGAAGATTGTTTCAATTCACTTAAAGAGAGTGATTCAGGAAATCCCGGAGATAAATTTTGGAACGACAACAGTTGAATATTCAATAGAAAGCATGAAGTAGAGATAGGACACTTTAATATAACGTAGAATTGAATAGTAGTATTTGGAATATATAATCATTACACAAACCATTTTGTGTACTTTGTGAACTTTTTATCTCATTGTGGATTATTGATCTTAATTATCATTTAACCATTTTAGATAACCGTAGTTTGGCAGACTAGTATTTTATATTGGGTAAGGTAAGATCAAAAATTTGAACCGCAGCCGTATTCGAACCGGTGACCATCAGGTTACCCTGGTTCATATCCGGTCATGGTTCAAATTTTTACCTCACCTTCTATCGATCTTATTGTTTACCTTTTCTAAATTGAGTTTTCACTCTGCCAATAATATGTCAGTCGATGTTAACAAAGTTATCGAAGCGATAAAAATTAACCTTTCAAAGAGAATGTTAATATAAATTAGAATCAAGTTGTCGTTAGTAGCATACCAAAAGACCACATTTTTCAGTGTATATATTATGAGGACTGCCTAGAATATGCAGATGATATAGTCCTGTCAGGCAAAAACGCTGACTAGATCCACAGTCTTCTGAACACTGAGTGGTTAACTTGAGAATGTTTGGGATACTTTTCTCATCACCCAAATGCAAATTGTTGCTCTAGGATTGGTCTTCAACTGTGCCTCGCCTAACAATAGAGAGTGAAGTGGTTGAGTGTGTTGACCACTTCACTTACCTAGGAAGTCGGATGAGTCGTGGTGCGTTGATGAGTGGACGACGAAATCTCTGCACAGGTACAAAAGGCTCTGTTGGCTTTTGTCAACTGACGCTATCTGTGGTGCCACCTTGATATACGATTGTCTATTGAGGATCGAGTGTACTTCCCTACATTGTGCTGTGTTGTAGTGTATGACTGTGAAACATGGCTACTGTGGGTGGAGGAGATGAGAAGGCTTCAAGTGTTTGACCACCGTTGCCTTCGTGGTATATATGTAGGCGGTATTCCGTGGTGTCACCATGTGAGTAACACAGAGGTTCAGGTGTAGAGTTTCAGGTGGGAGAGATAAGTGAGTTGATGCTGTTGTTAATCTTGATCTATTGAGATGTCTGACTGGAATATGTGTTACGTGTGCGTAGTTGCTGTCTGCCTCGTCACATAATGTTGGTCGTAGTAGGTTGAGGCTGTAAGAAGTCGCGAGTTGGCCAGACTAGAACATGGCATGAATGTATGAAGTCTGACTGTTGGTTTGTGCCATGTGGGGGTGATGGAGACTAGGTGGTTGGGGTCCGTGGGACAATAGGAATCAGTGGTTGGAGACTGATTGTAAGTGGATGACATGGCTGAGAACCGATGTGAGTTGGGCAGATGTATATACACATTATATTATCCTCATGTTAACCTGTCTACCGCATCTCATCACTTTCTCTCCCCCCTTCTCTCTCCCTCTCTCTCTGTGAGTAGTTTATATTTCTTTTGACTGAATTTTGTTTTCTTCATCTCCCAGTTCACTGCTTTATCGCTTTATGTAGTGATATGAGATGTGGCAAATTGGACCGTTACACAGTAATGCTTAACCCTATGTTAATGATGATGATGATGATGTATGGACTGGATTCATATATGTACAACTTGCACTACTGTTGGACTGATTTAGCCGTTGCTATATTATATCACCATATAGGGAGGTGTACACACTGCCTGTTTGGTATCCTGAAGATGATAAGTATCAATGATTGGTGACATGGTTGTAAATCTTTCAGAGTGATGCGAATTCATCCACTCTTTAACGTCTTATAAGGCTTTAGCATCTTTAGTCAATTTTTTTTCTTCTTTCATACAGTTGTATGTATTTTAATATCAGTCGTTTTATATCTACTTGTCCCCTTGTATGCTGCTTTGAATTGTGGTAACACATTTGTAGCTGTCTAGGTTAACTGCACGCTAGACGTCATTACTTTATATCATCATTTGTGTGCCATTGACTGAGTATTACTTTTACTTGCTTACTTACTTACTTACTTACTTACTTACTTACTTACTTACTTACTTACTTACTTACTTACTTACTTACTTACTTACTTACTTACTTACTTACTTACTTACTTACTTACTTACTTACTTACTTACTTACTTACTTACTTACTTACTTACTTACTTACTTACTTACTTACTTACTTACTTACTTACTTACTTACTTACTTACTTACTTACTTACTTACTTACTTACTTACTTACTTACTTACTTACTTACTTACTTACTTACTTACTTACTTACTTACTTACTTACTTACTTACTTACTTACTTACTTACTTACTTACTTACTTACTTACTTACTTACTTACTTACTTACTTACTTACTTACTTACTTACTTACTTACTTACTTACTTACTTACTTACTTACTTACTTACTTACTTACTTACTTACTTACTTACTTACTTACTTACTTACTTACTTACTTACTTACTTACTTACTTACTTACTTACTTACTTACTTACTTACTTACTTACTTACTTACTTACTTACTTACTTACTTACTTACTTACTTACTTACTTACTTACTTACTTACTTACTTACTTACTTACTTACTTACTTACTTACTTACTTACTTACTTACTTACTTACTTACTTACTTACTTACTTACTTACTTACTTACTTACTTACTTACTTACTTACTTACTTACTTACTTACTTACTTACTTACTTACTTACTTACTTACTTACTTACTTACTTACTTACTTACTTACTTACTTACTTACTTACTTACTTACTTACTTACTTACTTACTTACTTACTTACTTACTTACTTACTTACTTACTTACTTACTTACTTACTTACTTACTTACTTACTTACTTACTTACTTACTTACTTACTTACTTACTTACTTACTTACTTACTTACTTACTTACTTACTTACTTACTTACTTACTTACTTACTTACTTACTTACTTACTTACTTACTTACTTACTTACTTATGATTAAATTTATAGCCTACATATAGCAAATATTCTCAACAGTACTTAGACTTTAGAAAGACAAAAGCAAGTGAATTAAGACAACCACACAAATTCTAATCAAACCGCAGTATTTATCTTTTGACCTTTCAATAATGAGTACGCCGTCACGTGTAATATAAAGATTAGCAACAGGCAGCTGATACGTGTCTCTGAATAGAAGTAAGACCACATTTTTTGGCTTTCACAACCATTTAACATTAAAATGACAGCAAATATTTCGTTTTAGGTTGGTATTCATCATGGGCTGACATTTATTGGTGTAACCTTGGAAACCTGTAAGCACTGACCAGGTATTTCATCCTAGTATAAGATTTCTCAAAATTGAAATAATGTATAGTGCTCATTGGCGGTTAGCTTCGACAGGCGATTCCAGAAGTTCCAATGAGGAGTCATGACTCGTAGGGCCAACCAAGTCGGACATGAGGACAGTTACGGCAGTGACGAGAATGGATAAAGTTCGCGGTATATCGTGAACTAACAGAAGTTGGAAATATGGACTATTGGCTGAATGGTTCGATCCCTGGTTCTCCGAGGTTTAAAGTTTGTTCTCTAATGTTTCACCCTTACGCCTTTATAAAGTTGATGCTTATAAAACATATCCAAAAAGCAAACCTCTTAGCTTTGTGAACACATCTTGAAGTCTACATCTCATTATATTATTTGTTTATTTTTCTTTAGATTCGAGTGGAAAATAGTATCCTACGTCAACGTGTACGTGAACTACAACAAGAGAATCAGTTGTTGTCTGCTTCATTGCAGTTGGGTGCAGCGGCTGCAGCAGCACATCTGAAGAATAGACAACCTAGACTAGGATCAATCAACGGTGCCAGTAGCGATGAGATGAATAGTAGTGGTACAACTAGCGGTGACAATTGTACTGTATTAAAAGATTCAATTGATCTTGTAGAATATCAGTCTCCAGTTACTGTATTCACTGTGGATACTGCTAGTGTTAGTAATGTCAACTATAGACATGTAACAAATTTTAGTCAAGCAAATTCCAATTGTATAACCCCTACAAGTTCCCTTAATTCAGCCTGTTTTACAACACCATTGTCATCAATCAATGGTGGTATTGTAGGATTTAACAATCATGTGAATGCTTCAGATGCATCCTCTTCATCTTCTTGTTCATCATCGTCTGTGAATCCAACATCAACTCCAGAAATCATTAATCAAGTTATATGCCCATTAACTTTACCAAGCTTGGATCATATAACTATGCATAATGATGCTGGTAATAATCGAGTTTCTTAAATCATATTTCACTCCTTAACTTTATCCCTCCTTTGTTGAAATTCTTTCTTATCAAGTATCCTTCTTACTTTTCATAGAATTTGCGCCTTGGCAGCCAATGAAGGAAGGGAATAAATGAAACCATTATGAACATATTGTTACACATTCCTAAACAGATAAAAATACTAGGCATTGACGATAAGAAAAACTAAGTTTTCATCATCATCATCATCACCATTATCATCATCTTTAGTGACCAGTGAATTTTGTGTACTTCAACGACACCATTACAACATAACGGTGAAGTTCATGTGCTTTCCAATCATTTCTCATATGGTTCATTGTCTTTCTTATCCTTTCATCATTATTATAATAATGTACCGGATATACTTCACCATGAACAATCTGTAGCCGTGTGAATCCTGTTTCTTCTATGTGTGTGTGTGTGTATGTGTGTTTGCTAACACCTAGAGAATCAATCATCCATCATTCATTTTGAATATAATTAAAGACAGATTCTTTTCTAAAATTTTATTCATCATATATAATATACAACATATTCATCTTTCTCTCTTTCTTTATCTCTAGGACGTAATATTTTGGACAATAATAATCTCCTTCTTCTTTTGTCTTTGCCTTCCTCTCATCTTTCTTTTTTTTCTCTTTTCATTGTTAATGATTATTATTTCATCATCTGTTTATTTTCACAATTGTGCATGTAAGTGCATAAATGTGTATCCACAGCATGTTTTAAGGGGGGTTGGCGGTGGAGGAGGTACGGAGAGAAGGAGAAACCTTGAATCACACACATTCACCTGGTGATTTTTCCCCCCTTTCAATTTTGCCCTTTAATATTCTGATCATTATTATTAGTTATCATCAGAACGCCCCCATTCAATAGTTACTACAACTATTCCTTCTTATGTGTGTGTGTGTGTGTGTTTGCTTTCCATATAATATTCTTATTGTTGCATCTATTGTGCCTATCTGTGATAGTGCTTTAACTTGCAAAGATGAACATTACCTGGTACATTAGGTGTGTTGGTGCCGGTGGTGATGGTATTATATGTGGTCATCACAGAGTATGTTGTCCTTGTTTTATTCCTCTTATTGGTGCTGTTGTCTTCGTCACCGTCATCAAGAGAACTTTGGTCTACTGTCTAACGTTTGCCAGTGCAGTAGTAGTTGATTTACAAACCCGCCCAAATCTTCCGTATACTATGATCACACGACACCATGTTTGTGTAGGTTTGTGTATGTGTGTGTCTCCGCCCACCTACTCACATAAATTTTCATTTTTGCCTTCATCCCCTTCCCCACCTGCGTCTCATACTATACCGCGCCTATTTTTCTCTCACTTTTATTTTCTCTTGTTTTTTTTCGTATTTGTGATGGTTTATCATCAGTAGTAGTAATTTGGATCGTTTTTTCGTGTAGTTTTTCCTTCATGTCTTTCATGTTGTAAACATAGAGAAAAAAACATAACTATTCACGTTGGATAATGTGTACTGGAGAGAAAATAACTTACGTTGCCAATGATGCGCTGTGTTGTTGTTATTCTCGTTTAATTTTACCTTTTTCCTTCATCACTCATATCTGTCTGTTTGTTCAAATCCCCAGGTTGATGAAATTTTCGTCTTTATCTGACTAATATATCGGTGTGTGTGTGTGTGTGTCTGCCTGCGTGTATGCCTTTTCACACATCGTATCGAAAAAAGGTGCCTCTTCATATTTCTTCCAGGTATCAATCTACGTATCCAGTTGTTGTCTTTGACATTCTTAGGAGAAAATCGACGGTTGAACTGTTGTCTTTGTAGGAAAACATATTCCTTCCACTATTCTTTATGTCACACATTTTACTTGTTGTTATGATTTAGGGGTAGATTACGATATGGTCAGTGGGTTTTCTCTCTTCTAATCAATTTAATCCATGCTATAACGAAGAAGCCAAAGATTGTCATCAACTTCAAGTTTACTGTTGTGTAGTGATTCTTTTACACACAAAATGTATTGCATTCGCTGAGGCTGCATCGTACAGCTGGGTTCGTTTTTCTCTTTCTTGACTTTCATGGTCTTTTTTTTTCTCTATTCTCTTTGGAAATGTTTATTCTCTCTTGGTTCCACTCATCTAACAACTGTTGTCTATGTGTTGTATACCCTTTCCGTGTGGTATTGTTTTTGTTGGTTAAGTTGCTTAGACCACCTTAAATTCATCCCGTGAATAAAACGGTGACAAATTCAGCTACTTTACGAAAGAAATGATCCTTCCATGCACACATCATCTTTCATGTTTCATTATTTAAAAAAAAAATCTATGTGAACATTACAGCTCAACTTTGTTTGTCAGTTCCTAGTAGGTTATACTTTTTTTTTCTTTTACCGATATGTATTGCTGGTTTCTGCGTTTGTTACATGTTTCATTTGTTATTTCATCAGAAAACACTAAGCAAGAGTGAAGTGTGTGTATGAATTGGTTATACTATTCAACTGGAGTTATAAAGTTTGTTGAAGCACAGAAAGTTTTACCTTTTCTGTCTATTTCACTCATATCTATCCTCAATATGATTCATGTTGGAAACGGATTTCCGTATCAAAATGAGTTTTGAAGTTCTATATGAAATACTCCTTTTTAATGATTGCATTTTAGATAAAACAAGAGAGAGAGAAAATGCGCGATGGACACGTGTGTGTGTGTGTATATTGTAAGGAATAAAAACAATATCATTTAAAGCTAAGATCTTTATGTTCTCATTGTTATACACATATAAAATGTGTAACACTTTCTCATTTTCAAAAGTTGGATTCTTGTTGATTCACTAACTACCTGCCTGTTTACTTGCTCGCTTTAAAATTAGATTGGAAGGTTAAGATGACTAATTTGCTATTTATCTTATAAAATTGTATTATTCACGCTAACATTTTTTCACAGCTGAGTGAGTTTTTCAACTGTGATGTTAACAGGCTTTCTGTTAACAATCACCCAAGACTACAAGATATGGTGTTATACACAAATGTCACGAACTAGCGAAATATACTTCTACTACTGAACTACTTGAGTAGTTAGGAACTATTCAGGCTTTTCTATAGATCTCACCAGGCAGAACAAAGTGATATTAACACTGGACAACAGCTTGTTCATGGACGAATCAGTCCATTAGGGGTGAATGCGAGCAGTTGGCACTCGAAGAGTTGTCCAGTAACAATATCTTTTGTGCTAACCACTTTCAACTTTTTTTGTATATTTGTTCCTACTTTCGCTAACATTAATCCCCAGTATAATTTTCATTGGAAGTTTAATTTACCTATCGACCATCGATTGGGAAAGAAACGTAATTCGATCGATAGCCACATTTACATTACTCTATTACACACTAATTTGTGTGGAGATTAATAATTCTATCTGGTTATTCAAACTTGTATGAATTGCTGTTTTGCACTTTCATCAAGTGTTTGATTTGTACACTACACAGATTTACGGGACCATGTGGTGCAAATAACCTGCACCTACAAGTCGCAGTGTTTATAACCTACTATACAAACATATTTTCTGGCCAAATTTAGAACACCATTTTATAGAGAATACAGTGAATTCATTGTGGAATTCGTCTCTTTATTTTCAACGGCATACTAGTTATAAACTCGTAAGCACTATGTATATATATATATATATATATATATATATATATATATATATATATATATAAAGAGAGAGAGAGAGAGAAATACAATCTACTTATCAAGAAGATGATAGTTCAATGATGCGGGACAAGGAAAGAATTTGATTCGTTGTGATAACTACGTTTGAAGTTGTTTTATGTCTATGTAGTCAATTTGTTATCTTGCTATATATGACCAATTAAAATATGGAATGGAAGGGATTATTATTTATTATTAGTCCTTTGGGTTCCTAATGGAACATAGGGCTTCAGTAGCACGTCTCCAGTGAACTGTGTTCTCTGAGATCTTTTGAACCTGGTTCCACGACAGCCCACAACCTCTCGTTTCTTCCTCGCACGATCTCCTCCAAGTCACCTTCGGACGTCCAACTCGTCGCTTCCCATGGGGATTCCACTCGAGCAAGTGGCCTGACGCGTGATGTCCCCAGTCGGCCTTCTCAGTGTATGCCCAATCCATCTCCACTTCCTTCTGCATATTTGTTGGGTGATAGGTTCTTGGTTGGTTCGTCCCCAAGCAGAGTTCCTTGTTGCTTATTCTTTCTGGCAATCCATGTGATCTACAGTAGCGAGGCGGCGTAAGCAGTTGTTGATGAATGTGTGTAGTTTATTGGAAATCAATGGAAGGGATTACTTGAGTGTATATGATAAGTTAGTAATGTAAGTTTTCAGGGATTTCCTTTGAGATCCCAAGGTGGGATCTCTAGAAAAATAGTATCATAGTCTAGTGAAATATCGTGTAATTTGTAAATCATATCCTATTTTAGGTATACCGGTGTATACAAGTCGATTAGCCAGATTCTGGTGATCTGAACTAATTCGGCTATGTAAACTGATGAGGTTGGCCCCTAAACGAGCAGAACAGTCGTCCGGTGCTTGTATCGCACTCTGTTCAACCTGAATGGTTTCTGACTACTCATCGCTCAGTAGTAGTATCTTCCACTATATTAGGTCACTAACAATTTCAAAGGTTGTTTATTCAATTTAAGACGAGATAATTTTTAAGCATACTCTTAAAGTCCACCGATAGATTTGAATGATCAGTATAGTTCATGTTCAGGAATGCATGACATTAATTATTAAGTATCTTGGCAACTGTGTACTTAAGGTAAAATTTTGGAAATGATTCACGGAGACGTTCTAGTTTTTATTATCACCAACTTATTTCAGTGTTTTCATACAATTAGTTTCCTTGGTAAATTTTTCCGAATCAAGAACAACAAATAAGGTAGGATGAATCGAATTCATTTTGTATTTTCTAAATCTCCTGCATATGCACTAAATTTGAAATTGTCCAAACTAAGCTATCAGTGTCCAGCATAAGTCATTTAATACATTTCAGTAGTAAACTCAACACTGAATACATCCTTTAAAACTAAAGACTAATAACTACATAAACAGGGGCAGAGATCAGTGTGGAGATCTACTACACTGCATTCAGTATAAAGTGTGGACAAGATCCAGATTTTCAACACTAATTCAGTCAAGTAAGTCAGTGCTTCTATGTGATGGTTGACAGACTTGACGCGTTACGAAGAGTTCTTCCAACAAACTACAGACATACATCATCAACAGCTGCCGCCTACGCCCACTCTATACTGAAGATCAGATCAGATGGTCAGGAAGAAGAAGGAAGTGTGGCCTGGCAACGAAGTAATAACGCATCGCCAAACAAATACGCGGAAGAAGAAAGTGGATATGGACTGGACATACTGAGAAGACGGTTTGAGGACATCACGCGCCAGGCCAGGTCGTTGAGTGGAACGGAAATTGGAAAGGATGAGTTGAGTGTGTGAGAGTGACATGGAGGAGATGGTGTGAGGAAGCAATGAAAGGTTACTGGCAATGATGGAGCCAGGTTTGGAAGATTGGAGAGAAGAGAGTGAAATGGTGAAGTGCTATCGAATCCCCATGTTCCACTAGGAACCCAAGGGACGAATAATGTATAAATAATTAGGATAATGGAAATATTTATCCAGATAACTCACGGATTTCTACGGTTAAGTGTTTACGGACACAAAATGGAATTTATTCTGTTCCTTGTCCCATGAAGTGTATTGTATGTGCAATCTTGATATTGCTTATGAATAATCAAATCCCTTTAGGAATATTTTGATTTGAAAGAGATAACCTGAACGTTTCTTCAGTAAAACTATGAAGCTGAGACTATCTGAAACACACTTATGATTTCTAAAAGGCTATTTTATGTGAATCTAAACCTTAGTTCATTGGAGATATTAAGAAATCACTTATCCCGTTTATTGAGGAAATACATCCAGCACTTTTGCTCTCCCGAATGTGTATCTGTTAATTCAGCTATTCTAGAATATGGTATATCAGTCGTACTCAACGTCCTACTCAAGCATATACTATCTGAGTTTACAAAGGAAGAAAAATCTCTCCAGATATGTCTACAGTCCAACTTCCGTATCATCTATAGAGTACATGGAAAGCTGAGTGAATACAGCTTCTTCAAACTATCGAAGTTCAAACGAATCATAGTTTAAGACCTGAACTCTTTATATATAAGCAGCTTTGTATTCATTATGCTGACAATGAACTTAACTCATATGAATATTATACGTTTAAAAAATGTTTCATTCTGTTACTATGACTTCAACTTGCAAACTTTTACCTTACCGGTTCAATTCTTTACTGTTAAACTTCACTTACTTCTTAAGCTTTTAAAGTATGTGCTTCCCTCTTTTGAATCTCAAAAACTATGAAAACAAGGTTAATTTTATCATAACACTTTTGGAAATAATCACCTTATATCCTCTTTGATAAATTTATAACATATATATGCATGATTACAGCTAGAGAATAAATTGTTGAAAAGAGTAACTCTTCATTGAATACTTTTTTAAAAAGTTCTATTCTGCTTCTTTGAATATCTGTTTACCTGGTTAAATGTTCATTGATGATCACCACTCATCTGCATTAGATTGCTTATTATTATATTATTATTTGTCCCTTGGGTTCCTAATGGAACATAGGGATTCAGTAGCACATCTCCATTCCACTCTGTTCTCTGCAATCTTTTCAACCTGGCTCCACAACCTCTCATTTCTCCCTCACATCATGTCCTCCATGCCACCATCGCCACCGACGCCCAACCCGTCGTTTCCCATCTGGGTTCCACTCGAATGCCTGATGGGGCGCGTGATGTCCCCGAATGGTCTTCTCAGTGTATACCCAGTCCAATCCATTTCCACTTCCTCCCAGTGCATACTTGTTCAGCGATAGCTTCTTGCTTCGTTGGTTCCTTTCCAGCCAGCCAGCCAGAGTTCCTTCTTGCTTATTCTTGTCATTCTGGCCATCTGATCTCATCTTCACTAACGAGACAGTGTAGGCAGTAGTTGTTGATGAATGTCTGCAGTTTGTTGGAAATACCTTTCGTAACGCGCCAAGTTTCTCAACCATCACATCGAAGCACTAACTTCACGTTGGTGTTGAAAATCCGGATGTTGTTCACGCTTTATGCTGAGTGCAGTGCAGTAGATCTCCATACTGGTTTCAGATTAATGAACTCCTGTCTTGCTTGCTGTTCCGATCGTGGCTGGATTTCACGTCCTCGTCGTCTGTGTCTGTGCCGCTGTCGCCTGTACTTGAAACAATGCTGCATTGCCTAGATAGGTGAAGGAGGCTACTTCCTTTAAGTTCCTCCCATTCATGGTGATTGGAGCCCGTTGTTGTTGTTGTTGTTGTTGGTTGGGTATCTTCATCACCTCTGTCTTCTCTACGTTCACTTGAAGTCCCGTCTCCCCTCGCTGCCCTTCCCTGCCCTCCTCTGCCTCTTCTGTCAACTTCTTAGTTTTCGACTGTATATCTTCAAGTTTGTGTGACATCAGACACAAGTCATCATCGGTGAAATACAAATCTTCGAGGATCTTTTCCCCGATCCTACATATCCCCCTCTTCACATAGCTCCTCACTGTTTGTTGCATGATCCAGTCCAGTCGACCACAATCAGGAATATCATGGGTGATAGTAGACAGCCTTGTTTCACTCCTGTCTTCACTTCGAAAGCATCATTGAGCTTCCCATTGTGAATTACACATGGCATGTGGCGTCTTCATGTAGCTGCTGTTGAGTGAGGTTGATAAAGGTTTGTGGTATCCCATAGTGTTGAAGATTAGATTGATTGCATAACTAACATTGTTTTCATAGTGCCAAAGATGTGTGTTTTTGTTTTCCATTCTATGCATATGAATTGAATTAATCGATATTTGGCATATATGAAATCATGATTTTGATTATCTGAGATAGCAGTCATAATTTGCGAGATTAGTATTTATATTGTGTGATGGTTGAAATAGGTGGAATAAAAACTTGAACCACGGTCAGATTCGGACTATCGGGTATTCCGGATTAGGATTAGAGACTCGTCAGCTGGATGTACCTACTTCCCAGTCAGTTATGTTGTCTCCACCGGGATTCGGATTCGGGAGCGATCGCTTCAAATGCCAGAGCGTTGTTCACTACACTACCTAACCAGCTTTTGTACGACGGGCATAGTTTCAGTTTAATTGTTTTATATCATACCGTCGTTGATTGGACCGAACTGGTCGATCTCTATTTGCACATGGACCCCTGTATGGATGCCTCGATATTACCCGTGTTCTAATTACATTAATGATGGATAATAGCTAGCAGTGGAATCCAGGATGCTCATTTCGTTCTATTTGGCTATCATGGCTCGATGTTGTAGTGGATAGCGGTCTGATGGGATATCAAATGCAAAGGGATACATTAGGTATCCTATGATGGTGAATATTAACTTGCTAATGGAGGTGTAACTCACCGATGGAGACATTCAGCTTCCAACTACTGGGTCAGTGGTTGAAACTCCGGTCGACCTAGCAAAGTCTCGATAACTAAATAGTATCATTAACCTTTACTGAATAAATCTGACCCATTATCTACTGCATGAATGTGAACGTGATTACTGAGTGGATTTCATTAATT